CTGGTTTAGTCCTGGTTCAGTCCTGTTTCAGTCTTGGTTTAGTCCTCCTGGTTTAGTCCTGGTTTAGTCCTGGTTCAGTCCTGGTTCAGTCCTGTTTTAGTCCTGGTTCAGTCCTGTTTTAGTCCTGGTTTTCAGTCCTGTTTTAGTCCTCCTGGTTTTAGTCCTCCTGGTTTTTAGTCCTCCTGGTTTTAGTCCTCCTGGTTTAGTCCTCCTGGTTTAGTCCTCAGTCCTGGTTTAGTCCTGGTTTAGACCTCCTGGTTGTGTGCTCTAGCCTGTGATTTATGTTCTGTAGGTGATTATAAACGACGTTAATGTTAATAACATGATTCCACATCATTTTGAGTAAAAAAAAAAAAACATCAAATATTACAGATTTTTACTGGGGCGGTCGTCATATTGATGAAATCACGAATCATGTACCTCCACTTAAAAAGTCCTCACTACACCACTGAGCTATAGTATGAATAAATTATGAAATTATGTTATTTCTCTGTCTGGAATGTTCCACAGTACGGCCTTAAACATATCTCCCTTGCATTTTTTTTTCAATTATATGTGTTTTATAGCACAAAAATTCCTTAACAAACATGAATTCTTAACCTGTGCAGACTTGCTTCTCCATAACTCTGACCATTAACCTGTCTCCAGCTTTATTTCCATACTGTGCAATAATCAAGGCATAACAATAATATAAGTGTATAACTGTGCTATTTAATTATGCCAACTCATGTTTTCTAACCATATCGTATTAACTATAATTTGGTTTTAATACGACCATTTATCATCTAATCTATTTTCTTCAGCAAAATCATATTTCAAAACTTGGGCGTGCTACTCTGAGTGAGAGAGAAGCTGTAGTTTAAAACAGTAACATTACAATGGCAGCAAAAGTATCACTGAGAACTGATCTGCAATTTATTCGTCAAAATCTCATCTTTGTTCTTGTGGATCTCATCTCGAGTTTTGTCTCACCCCTAATTATTAGTACTATTACTTCTCTCAAACAACTGAACACGATGTCATGTATTATATATTGTACGGTTGTCAAGGCTGTGAAAAATCAGATACTAACTGATATTAAAACCAGTATCAAAATTAGACACTCATTTAGTCATTTAGTATCAAGTATCAATATTAAAAAAGAATTATAAGACAGAACTGAACCTTGAGCTGTATCAGAACAAGTATAAGGCTACGTTCAGACTGCAGCCCGAAGTGACCCAAATCCGATTTTTTCACGATCTGTATCTGATCTTTTAATGACAGTCTGAACGACACAGATACGATTTTTCAAATGCGACCCAGTCCACTTGGATATATGCTCCTAAAACCGATACATATCCGATCTTTTGACATGTGACTTCACTCTGAACGGCCAGGTCGCATTCATCCCACCTACACGTCATCAACAAGCAACAAACGTCACTATTCTGCAGTGAAGTAGGTCGAAACTGGAAGAGAGACACTGCAAGAGAATTTTCAGTGGAGGAAAAGCGAGGTTAGCAAGTTAATTAATATGCAATGTCCAAAAACCTCCTTCTCAATCTCCTCCTTAAAAAAAATTAAGCTGTACATGTTCTGGCTCCGGTACGACAGCAACTTTAAAATCGCCAGGTGCTCACGTTCATGTTTAGGCGACTTCCGTAAACACTGATCATGCGCGCTTCGAGTGACACCGTCTTGTCCTCCAATGCCAATGTGGGACACGATTGGGGCATTTAAAGTTCACACTAGAGATCACATACAAGTCGGATTTAATTGGAAATGTGAACGACCTCGCAAAAAAAAAAAATCCAAATTGAGCATTAAGCCCTGCAGTCTGAACATAGCCTAAGAGCACATAGACTAGAGGGCCACTCAAACATAAATAGATGACCGAAGGATTAAATTAGTAAAACAATAATAAGGCCTGCTAATTTAAAAGAAAGAAAATTGAAAATCACGTTCTATTGTCTGACTAAAGAGTGTTTTTAATTATCACTGTGATATCTGAAGGGGTATTGAGGATCGAGTCCGTTCCTTAGAATCAAAATTGAGTTTGAAATTGTGGTTGTGACGGCACATATTGTATGAAATTGAGTTAGGGTGTGATTTGTGAGTTCTGCGCAGCTCACAGTACACAGCACATCTGCACGGTTATACACAAATGGAGGCTGATTAATGCAGGTTTTTCTGGCACGTCAACAATGCTTTCATCAACGGACTTCCAGAATGTTTTTTTTATGAGGTAGCCACCGTGTTTGTGCAGCATTACTACCATTTAGGTGGACCATATGACATAAAAAAAATTAAAAATCCAGCATTTACTTTAAGAGATCAATCAAAGAGGCCGGTCAAATTCACTTCAGTGTTGCCGGTTGTTGGTCCACCTGTCACTCAGAGCAGGACTGAGGTTGACCGACAGCAGGAGAGGAGGGAAAACGTCGGCATTTGTGTCTACATTTGAGCTAAATTAATAAGAAAATCACCGAAGTAGAATATTACGATTTCTACAATATTATATGATAATATTAAAAGGCCATGTCTGATTTTTTTCCCCAGTACAAATATATTGTATAAGCAGCTCTTGAGGTCAAAATAAGTCAAATGCAAAGAGTTTTTTGTATGATAATCAGGATAATCAGGAAATGTACTTTACTATGACGTCAAAACTCTGGTTCTGGTCTCTGCGGGTTGTGAGAAGCACTTATAAACTCATCATGGTGGACCGTTTAAATTAGAGATGTAACAATAACCGAAATATCGTGATATCGTATCGTCAAAGTTCTCACAATAATAAGTCACAAGACAAGTCTCTTTGCTTAAATTAAGAGTTATGGTGCAGCAATAGCAAAACAAAAAAGGGACAGAACTATATAGACCATGATCCTTTGCTCCATTTCAGTGTAGACTACAAGAAGAAATAACAGTTCTAATCACTTTTAAGTCTTAGTTCTTTGGATTAAGTCTTGTCACAGCATTTAAAAGTACCATATTAACAGTTTTAGTCCAGAAAATATCGCAATAAATATCGTACCGTGAGATGTACATTGTGAAAATATCGTACTTTGAGAGATTTGGATATTGTTACATCCTTAATCGTGAGACTCCCCACCATATCGTGAGCTTTCCCACACTATCACAATAAATATCGTACCATGAGGTTCATAGACAATATCGTATCGTGATACTTGGACATCGTTACACCCCTTGTTTAAAATGATCTAGATGTGTTTTTGTGCTTTTAAAACAGTAATGAAACAGCCTGTTGAGGCTTTTTGTGTGCACAAACCTTAAGAATAGCGTGAGAATGTATGTTCCATGTTCCCTCACGAATGCATAATGAAGAAGAAAAAAAACATATAAGTCGCACTTTTCGGAGGGTAATTATAATAGAAATAACAATAGAAGAGAGAACAACAGGCTGTTAATGTAACATATTAACAAGTTTACAAAACGCTCACTCTCACTCCAAATCACTAAATCCATTGAATTCTTCATCCTCGGTGTCACTTCTGAGCAACTCCCCAACTCTAGCTAAATTTATCTTTTAGCCCACGATTAGCTTTTATGGTTTTCTACGTTGCCGTTTGAGTATCCTCTGCTTTTTGCCAGTCCCTCACAAGTTTCTCGCTCACTCCAAACTTTCTTTCTGCTGCTGAATATTTCACTACTTGCAGCAGGATAGCGGCTCTTTCAGCAGGAGACATGCGCAGTAGAGCACGAAGTGACGTATTAACAATTTTGTTTAGCCTCCACAAAATATCGCAATAATTATCGTACCATGACAAGTATATTGTGAAAATACTGTATTAAGAGATTTGGAGTTTATTACATCCTACTCATGAGCCTCCTCTCCATATCACGAGCTTTCCCACGATATCGGAATAAATATCGTACTGTGAGACTTGGATATCGTTACATCTCTAGTTTAAAATGATCCAGATTGTCTTTTTGTGCTTTTAAAACAGGACTGAAACAGCTTGTTGATACTAAACAGATTAAATCAGCAAGTTTAGCTGCTGAATACAGTTTGTACCTGAGGCTTTTTTACGTGTACAAACCTAAAAATAGCGTGAGAATGTATGTTCCATGTTCCCTCACGACAAAGGGAGAAAAACACTATAAATGTGTTTTTTAAGAAACAGGTTTTTGAGTGACAGGTAACTGCAGCTCAGTTTGTTCACAAGGTTGAAGCACGATGCAAGTCGGTACAAGCAGCATGATTCTGTACAGCTTTTCTCACCAGGGCTTATAAAGACAACACGTACTCCACTGCAAAAAAACAAGAGTATCTATAAAACTATTTAAATGACCTGATTCATCTTTCTAATGCACTGTTCCCAGAGCTAAATAAATTACTGGTGGAGACAGAACTGCAAAACAAGTCAACAAAACTTACTCCAATTGCAGTCTGCAGATATACACTGTAGAAACTAAAATCTAGCCAAGTTAAGATGAATTATGAAAGTTTTATAACGATTTGAAACAATAAATTTCACTTGAAAATGATTTACCAATGGAAGAAAGTAAATATAAAAATGAAAATAAGTCTAGCTACACTTAAAATAAGAAAAACAACAACTCTTTGCGCTTATAAATAAATAAACATCTAAGAAAAACAAACTTATTCCATCCAATTAAGAACATTTTACTGTTTTTGAGTAAATTCAACTTGACAAGTAAAATTAAAGTCATTTTAGTTTACCTTAAAATTCTAAAAACATCATCCTGAAACAGTATAAATGCAATGGGACAAACTTTAATCAACTTATTAACTAACAAAATCTTGGAAACCTAAACTAAAAAAAAAAGACTCAAAGCTTTTAAGTATAGAAACCATATTGGCATATTTTTGCAGTGTACTCCTGACGGATGAAAGAAAAGTCTGAACACATCTTGACCTGCCGACTAAACGGAGAGTATCTGAACTTTTAACAACTTTATGTACTCATTAAAAATATATGGTAAGCGCTCAAAAGTTCTGTTATGCAGCCGAATAAAAAGGAAAGACGGCTCACCTGAGAGTAGCCGGTGATGAAGAAGTGGAGCGCGGCGAAAGTCATTTGAGCTTTTTCGTTTGACACTGAGCTGGTTTTTCAGACAGGAGTGTGATCACAGGTCCTAGTTTAGCTTTTAATTTGCACAGCCCCAAAGGAGGGCAGGGAGAGGTGAGAGACGGGAGGGGGGCAGGTGACATCACTGTGCCAATCTGACAATGGGCAGAGAAAAAAAGTCACAAGGACAAAAGTCAAAAGTACATTGGGAAAAGAAAAAAAACAAAAAAACAAAAAAAAACAAAGAAAGAACATAGGAGAGTTAAAGGCACTATGTAACTTTTCTGGTAGAGGGTATGCCACCTGCAACCTCCTGAATTTGAATTTAATGCCTTACTGTGGAACATCCTATCACAGGGGTGTCAGACTCATTTTGGTCCGGGGGCCGTATCCAACCTACTTTGATCCCAAAGGGGCCGGATCAGAAAACTCATGGCATATTTACCTCAAAAATAGCAATAAGGTCAAATATTTGTGCAGAGAAACACAAATCTATTACAGAAATCTTTTTTAACTGATGAACTCTTTCTTTTTATAAAATATTATAATATTATGAACAACCTGAAACTTTAAGAAAAATGCAATTTCAACACAATGTTTGAACATTAACTTGCAAAAAGGAATAAGTCAATTTTTCTTGGAACATCCTGCACTTGGCGTCCACTTTTCTCATTTTTGACATTTTGTTGATGAGGGTGTCACGGTCAACAGTCAAAACGATCGTCCTTTAAGAGCGTTTGGAAAGAGGCAAGTCTTCATTCACCAATATTTTAATAGAAAATATAATTAAAATATTTTAGTAGAAAATCAGCCGAGGGCCAGATTAACGGTCTTGGAGGGCCGAATCCGGTCCCCGGGCCGTTTATTTGACACCAGTGTCCTATAGTCAAAGTAATGCCATCTCTAGCAGGTGCCGAATTCTCCACCTAAAAAGTTACAGAGTGCACTGAACCCGTCCAGACCTAAAGGCAATTTTTCCTCGCCTGGATTTTTTTTCTTTTTTGGTTGAAACTGGGAAGTTTTTATTCGTTTTGGCCTTTTGTCCACACTGAGCCGGTGTTTCGGGTGAGTGAAAGGGTGGAGAAATCTGAAAATGCCGGCGTTGCGTTGTTGTGTGGACAAGCAAACCGCAGTTTTGGGGGAAAAAATGACATTGCGACCCCGTCATCGCCACGTGACCAGAAGAGAACCCCACGCAACAACCGGTAACAACCATAACAACAACCAGGGCGGACAAAGGAGTTGAGTTTGTGCTGCAGAGACTTCTAAGTTTATTTGCACTGTTGCATCAAAACCTCTTAATCTTAAACTTTCGTGTGTGCGTCTGCCATCAACATCATCTGGTGTTTGTTTGTGTGGCATATGTATTACATTGTCACTGCTCCGTTGTCGTCTGGATATGAATAATTATTGATCCATCTCGTGTGTGGACGCAAATTTATTTCAACCACGCAAAAAAAAAGTAAAAATCCAGGAGCGTTGTCGTGTGGACGTAGCCTTAATTTTGCCTATTAAAACTCCCCCCTTTTACCCCCTAATGAAGTGTTATACATCATTTTTTTCAGTACAACCTGTTATTTCACAATCTGCTGCTGTAGTTGTGTCATCTGGTTGTAATAAAAACTATAGGACCAGAAATACCAAAAAAAAAAAATCACACTCTTTCATACAAAACACACAGAAAACATGTATAAACAACTTTTTTTGACATAATTTTTATTTTTTTATTTAGGGCCTTAGCTACAAAATATCAGTATCATATGATGTCTGGAAGGATATGAATTTGTTTTGAGTAATTCTGACTGAGTTTAGGTACATTAACTCAGTACCAAAGTATCTTAAAGGAAAAAACAATGTATTTAATCTATTTTATTCAAAGTCAAAATTGCTTTAAAGCCACTCAGATAATTTAGGTTAATCAAAACGAGTTCAAACCACATACAGTAGGTCTATGAATTCTTAAAGAGGGGGTATTACACTTCTGTGGGCCCAGGAGAGATTGCTAGATAACTCAAACATGCATGGATTACATCTAAAACCTCTTCAGGCGTGTTTCTGAGGAGGGAACAACGTCTCAACATGAAAACTCCAAAAAGACGATTTTGCATAAAACCTCAGCTTTCATGTTTTGGGTTGGGTTTTTTTTAACCGCCTTTTTTTTTTTTTTTTGCAGTGTATGAAAGAGCAGCAGGCAAACAAGATGTAAAAAAAAAAAAAGACATATTTCCCTGCGGTTATTGAGAAGAGAGTGATATTACGACAGAGTGAGCTCATACAGAAGCCCACAGAAGATAGAGAGTTCTTGTGGAGTCGAGCCAACAGCCTAACTTCATCAAACCTCTGCATTTTCTAGTCAAAGTGAGAAAATGTGAGCAACCAAACCGAAAACAACTGCAAGAAACTTTTGAGTTGAATTCAGAAAGTTTGTCTTGTTTTAAGAAGCTTGGACTATGCGTGGGTTTCAAGTGATAAAATATTAGAAATGCTACAAAACAATTAAATCCTGTATCTTTTGAGTAGGGATGTAACAATAATCGAAAAATCGTGATATCGTATCGTCAAAGTTCTCACAATAATATCATGGACCATCAGAATATATCGAATTACAAGTCTCTTTGCTGAAATTAAGAGTTATGAAAACTGACATTTAATATGAGACTTGACTTTGACAAATTTGACAATTACTGGAAAACATGGAGAATGTTTGTTGCCCCGTTTAGATCCGATTTTAATTGAATACGACTCGATGAAACCATAGTATTTTTTATTTCTGATCGTGTATGTATGTGCGTATATGTATATATATATATATATATGTATGTATGTATGTATATATGCATTTTTTTCTTGTTTTGTTATTATTAGTTTTAATATTACCAAGCTTTTTTATTTTGTGCAAGCTTGATAATTTCTATAATATAAGTACAGTGACTTTGTTTACTTTTAGAAAAGGAGAAAGGGGACTATAATTGAAATGCTGTGTCAGTGTACAGTATATTTTGTTCCTTTGTTTCCAATAAACTTTAATGGGAAAAATAAAAAATAAAAAAAATTAAGAGTTATGGTGCAGCAATAGCTAAAAAAAAGTCAGAGGGAACTACATAGACCATGATCCTTTGCTCCATTTCAGTGCAAACTACAAGAAGAAATAACAGTTCTAAACACTTTTACGTCTTAGTTCTTTGGATTAAGTCTTGTCCAGGTGAGGAAAATGTAGAAAATTCACAGTTTTCCACAAAATATCACAATAAATATCGTACCGTGAGATGTATATCGTGAGAATATCGTACCGAGAGATTTGGATATTGTTACATCCCGAATTAGGGGTGTGCAGAAATATTGAAATATCGATATATATCGTATCGTTTAATGTGATGATACAGTATCAATATCGTGGGCTGCTGTATCAATATATCACCAAGAGTATTTTTTTGGTGTATTTTACAAAATTATTTTGTTACAGCTACAGTTTTGTTGTTTGTTTAGTGGAAAGAAACTTGTTTATGCGACACATTTGACATTTTCACAGTTTTGAGGATTAAAATGTTTGTGTTTCATATGAACTTTGCACAAGAAGTGGTTCAAAAAAGACTTTTAGTATCACAGTCATGATTTAGACATTATTTTTTATTGGACCGTATCGAACTGATTTGAAATATATCGTATTGAATTATATCGAATCGTAACCTCACTGTATCGAGATATGTATCGTATCGTGGCCTATGTATCGCGATATGTATTGTATCGGCAAATTCTGAATGATACTCAGCCCTATTTCCCATGATATCGCAAAAAATATCATACCGTGAGGTTCATACCGTGACAATATCGTATCGTGAGACTTGGATATCGTTACACTCCTACTTTTGAGTGGTAAAATGTCCTCAAAATTGTGTCCATGAAAAAGTTATGACAGCAAAACTCATGAATACTTTTTGTTCCGTTTGCGGTGGGTTGAGATTTTTCATATTCAAGCTATTTTCACTTAAACTTTCCTCTTTCTAACTCCACCCACTGTTCTAACCTTTGCGTATCGACTAAATAAATACGTCAAAATAGGCTAAACGAAAGAAGATACTCAGATTTAATGTTCACTATAGCGGATATTTTGCATAAAGAAGGGTAATTTAAAGATTGAAAAGAGCAGCGGAGCGATCGGGTCGACAAAGTTCATCCAGACTCTGCATTTTCAAGCGCGAGTGAGAAATGCAAAGAGCCAAACCAAGGCCAGGACCAGACTCCTCCTCATTTAGACCAAGGGCAGCCGAGGAGACCGGTTTACTCAAGGAGGAGGAGGAGGAGGATGATTCACACAAAACAGCACAACACACAAACGCACACACACAGACCAACGCACAATGCTCCCTTTGCTCTCTCCTCTAAGTCACCCCACTTCAGAGCGATATTACGTTACAATTGGCATGCATCTCGTTAATGAAAATACCGCGCACGTCAGGTTTGTGCAGTGGTAGCGTGTTGTTTTGTGTCCTGCTTTTGTATATTTATGGAAAATTGTGGTCCTGGAGCACGGGTGAGTCTTGAGTCTTGGATATGATTGTACCGCTAACCGTAAGGAGGGTTCAAACGGGGGGATCAGAAGATTACTCACAGATGCACGGATGACATATAAAACCTCTTTGTTTTTGATGAGGGAACAACCTTATAGCAAAGAAGAAAGCGCCAAATACTAGATTTTACATAATACCACACTCTAATTTAAGCAAAAATGTAAATGACTTAAAGCCGGGATACCTGATTTTCCATGGAAAGAGGATTTTTATTTGAATGTGTCTAGTCAGCGAAGTGAAACTGAGGTTGAGCAGCTGCAGACAGCACACAGTGGTTTCATTTTGTCACCTGCTTGTTGCTTTGCTTTGCCAGGAAAACTCCAGCCTGATTCATCAGCCAGTTTCACTTCGTGGAAACCATCTGACCGCGCAGCATTAGGATTCGTTCGCTCGACAGTAGCCGGGTACTTTTATTATTTAACCAAACGCTGTTATTTGGTCGTGACCAGTGTTGGGGAGTAACAGATTACATGTACAGGAGTT